AAACTTGCAGTTTCCAAGGAAAATATTGATAGCTTTGAAAATTAAAAAAATTAGAGGGCCATTTTCTCTTTAATTTTTCCCTGACAACAGGCACCCCCCCCCAAACTCCTTCATACGCAAATATCTGGATTAAGATTCTCTTTTACAATTAAAATCAGGGCAACTGAACTCGCTTTTAGACTATATCAGCACATTAATATTGACGAGCGCCTGATTCCACTGCGTTGTGACACAAAATATAGTATTTTTATTTTTTCAGGAACTTTTAGTGCTTATCACGCGAAAGTTAAGACAAAATAGCCACTCCACTTCATCAATTGGTCCTAATTAAAAGCAACTTCATCTGTGGAAGTATAGCAGCAATATATAACTAAAATGAACTGCTGAAAACAGAAGTTGGGTTTCTGTAGTAGGGGTTAAAATCAAACACGTGACAAAAAGGGGATGAAATATCGAAGTCGGGGACGTGAAAATTTAAACTACATTGTCAACACTTTCTAAAAGCGTGTTCATCTGCCTTGATTTGTGTAAAATAATATTATGAACGTAACCTCAAATTTCAATACAATTCCTCTTCAAATTGAACTGACATGACATTGTGCAAACATCTAGGATATTCCCTGTTCATATTGCCAGATTTAATTGCTGTGACGCCTTACACGAAATATAATTTTCACTTATTTAAGAATTGGAAATAGTATGGTGGGGGGGGGGGAGGTAGGAGGTTACGTTTACTTTCACTCTAAACAATTGCTCTTTCTACTTTAATGAGGCAATAAAACTATCCACGATAGTCGATACACTAATAATTAATTACGAGTCTTTGGCTGGTTTGGCTCTTTTGCATCATCTTAACCTCGGTTGTTTTAAAATGTGTAGATGGGTGTACACTTTCAACCATTAGCAGTTATTCATCTGACACAACCAAAAAGATAATACATGTTGCCAAGTGAGAGTAATCAGTGTACACTAAGCTAGTAAAAGAACATAGTAAGTTTTAAATTTTTTTAAAGAAAGAGAAAGAGACACGGATTACAAAGTTAGAGCAATGTGAATTCTGTCAGTCACAATGATTGTAATTGGCAACACTCAAAAGAACTCGATCACCATTAACATCAATACCCACTATGAAAAGTGAGTAAACCCTTTAACGTCTTGACAGACAACAAGAGTACTGCTTCCCTCCTTTCAGATCTTGACTTCCTTGATTTGCTCAAGAGCCGATTTACGGTTTGGACTAGGAATGGTGTATGGGTGTTGTACTATTTTACAGATCTGGCATTGACCTGTCTACTAATATAAGGGATGCTTTTTTAAAACTTTCAATTTGCCTGAATGGCGACCTAACGGTATACTTTTCTACAATGTTCAACCACAGAAGTATCTTAAATAAGCCAGATGTGAACAGCGGCTTGATCTTACTTACCTTTGAACACACACACACACACACAACCACAGAAGTATCTTAAATAAGCCAGATGTGAACAGCGGCTTGATCTTACTTACCTTTGAAGCCACGGGTATGTGTGTGTGTGTGTGTGTGGAGGCGAGGGGGGGGGGTGGATTAGGATATTGACTGAGTGAATGAGGGAGGGAGATTTTATTTTTGTGTTATATTACTAATTGAAAAAAAGAAGAGTAAACGAATAAAACGAAAAGGGTGGAGAAAGAAGGAGCAGAAAAAGTAGAAGGCAGTCACCTTATCAAGACCACTCAAGGATACCATGAAATGACTTTTTTATCAGGTGAACTTTGGTTTGGTTGACGGGCCTTTGCAAAATCGTCCTTGAACTTATTGACAAACTAACTACAAGCAAATAAGAAGCAAAGAAGAAGGTAATGCCATGGGAAGAGTAAGTTTCGCGTTAAGCTGCAAAAGAAAGCGAAAACTGTTTAGTTATACGAGATTTTATACCAAATGTACAAGTACTCTTCTTTAACTGGGGCTGGGGAAATGGGGGACAGCGGAGGGGACGGGGCATAATTCCCCAACTACAAACTCTTGTCTGCATGCTTGTCTGTCTGTCTCTCTGTCTCTCTGACTCTCTATCTCTCTTCCTCTCTCTCCCTCCCTCTCTCTCTCTCTCTCTCTCTCTCTCTCTCTTTCTCTCTCTCTCTCTCCCTCTCTTTCTTTCTCTCTCTTTTTTCTCTCTCTCTCCCTCCCTCTCTCTCTCTCTCTTTTTCTCTCTCTCTCTCTCTCTCTCTCTCTCTCTCTCTCTCTCTCTCTCTCTCTTTCGCTCCCTCTGTTCTTCTATCTTTCCCTCCTCTTTTTCGATCTCGTTTCCTCTGGCTCTCTTTTTCTCTTGGTCTTTCTCAGTTTTCAATGTCTGGTATATCTGCTTGTCTCTGCGTGTCTCTCACTTTTAATACCTTCGATTCTCTCTGCAGAAGTAAAAGAAAAGAAAAAAGGCGTGTGTATGTTTGCATGTATGTATGCTGATCCCTCTTTGTTAAAGTAGGTCTACACTGCTGAGTGCTAACCTGATGTTGGAGTGAGTGATAAACCTGGTTCACAAATCCTTTATGTGTGACACCGTGGTGAAAGCAAGTACACATAAAGATGAGGAATTCGAAAAGACTGACATTATTTAGCTCGTCGGGCAATTGTTATTGATTCTTTTGGCTCAACATTTTTTTATGTCCCTGTATAGAACAAAACACATTCCTGTGACGATTTTTGCTGAAAAATGTTGATAATAGGACCAAAAGATGTAAATTTGTAGTTTGGAAAGACCCTCAAGCTTTTGGAATAGCCAAATATTCTCGATATTTTACCTCTGACAGCATCATTCTTTTGACGAGCAGCTAATATCTCCACAATGTCACATTAATATTTCTACTTTAATTACAATTATCTTGACTTTTATGAGCAAGGTAGATGAATGGTTTTTCATCAAAAGCATGACAAATAAATAACCTTTTAGATGATAACAATAATTCCAGATCCCCAAAATTAAACGAGCACCAGATTGTACAAATGTTACTACGTAATGTAATAATTTGATGTAAAAGCATGCCTAAATTATCGATGGGCATTAGGCCCTATTCTAATGAAGTGGTGTCAACCTGAAAATAAAGTGGACACATCCGATTTTCTCTCTAAGTGGTACATGTGTATTATCGTAAAGGGTTTGTCTATTTTTGTTTGTTAGTTTTGTTTTGTTTGTTTGTTTGCTCTTTTGTTGTTTGTTTGTTTGTTTTGTTGGGGGGTTTTGGGGGGTGGGGGGCTGCAGGGTGGGGTTTTGCCTTGCTTTCGATCAAAAAGAATGAATAGAAGTCGGTGTTCGCCACTAAAGGAAGTCTTGTATTAGGGGTAACATTTGCGAAAAAAGGACTGCCTAAGTATGCTTTTCACTACTAATTTGACTTATTATGCAGCCAACTAAAGTCAACTTAAATTTAAAAAATAGTCCTTTTTCAATTTTTATGGTCTTCCAAACCCTCTCAAATCTGAGAGAATTCAAACTGTTGGTGGCATTCTTACTGGGAAACTATTCTGGGTAATTGCGCAACAGTTAAACCGTTACAAATCAGCAGTCAACAAACTACTCAACAGACAAACTGCATAATGGAACAGACTCTGGTTGCCAAAGGTGTCGTACGCTGAATAAATGACAAGGCTGACGTTGAACACATTGTTGAATGATTGTCAACTATGAGTTGGCATCAAACAAACTGCCGCTGAGTTTGGCATTTATTATTCAGGGACAGTGCGAAGTAGGCTCTTGTAAACATGCCTGAAACCCTTTCGTACCTTTGGTGGCTTTCGTGGTCTAAATGTTAAGATGTGCGCCTCTCATTTAATAGGTCCCGGGTTCGAATCCGGACAGCGACGGAAGCTATTCTTCTTTAAAATGTTCTACTTTCCCCTTCTTTCCTGCTCTCTAACAATGTTCTGTCGTCTTCGTCTTCACTTTCTGCCCCCACCCCCTCACCTCCTTTACCACCTCCACTGGGCTCCTGATATTGTCTGCTACTCCTTGGCTCCGTCTTGCTGCTTTCTTTCAGCCCTGATCTAATGGTAGGTAAGCAGATCTACACCTAGCCTTCTCAGATAAGGCCAAACAATCTCAAAAGTCTCATTTAGTGATTGTGCTTTAAAATCCTAAAATCAATAAGAATAGACCTCGGCCACCAACCGGGCAAAATTCAAAGTTATTTCTACCCAAACTTTAAATTCTCTAGTCAGTATATAAACACATTATTAGAGAGTTGTGGCTGGCTAATGGCAAGGGGCCCTAGGAAGTAGGAAAAACGGTCACATACGTTGAAATCTAGCAGGAGAAAGCAAGCAATAAGAAGATCTAACCAGGTGGATGCTTCAAAACTTTGTAGAAAGCATCTGACTGACATGTTTTGTTTTGTTTTTGTTTTTATTTTTATTTTTCAATTTAGAAATAATAATCTGTCTTAAATATGTAATGTAGTGTTTTCTCTTTCTTTTGCGGTACAGTTTCTGATTCTACTTATCTGTGATGAGGTCAGATTATGCTTTGCAGAAAATAAAGATAGGCACCTTAAATGTTTTTGATTTGTGTTGCCCCTCCTTTAGAAAAATGCAATCTGCCCACATTTATTTCAAATGTTTTGCAATACAGACGGGTCAGAAAGTACACGTATTCCTGACATTTTAGAGTATAAATACCACCATAAATTGTTCTTCGTTGTCTTGAAGCACTTCGCTTTGCAGGTAAAGCCCTTCCATTGCTATCAAAAGTAACTCAATCGTTTAGAGGTAGACATAGACCAACAGTTATTGTTGTGTTTTTTTTCGTGCTGAAAAATGTTTAAAGTTTGTTGTAACTGAATTCAGAATTTGTGAGAATTGAAATAAACTGAAAAAAATCACATGAGCAATGATATTAAGATAATGATAATATATTAAAAAGAAGAAAAAGAAGATGGAGTAGCAGTTCATATAACTTTTTTACCTTCATGTGAAGCATTCACTGTTGTCAATTTTAGAAGAAGTATTAGTCGTATTTTGATTTTGATAACAAAGGCTGCACGCTCATTTGACGTGTCTATGTTCAAGATAAGGCTGTGTACGTTTTAAACCTTCCTGTGAAGTTAAATAGTCCCTTGCAGAAAAGGCAATATCGCTGTCATGTCCGGGCTTGTTTATGTTTCAGAATGACGTCACTGTGCCTGATCTCTGTTCTCCTCCTTGTGGGGGCCTCAACTCTGGCTGCTGGTGAGTTTGTGTGCATGTTAGTATATTTGTATGTTGGTATGTATGTGCAAGAGAAGATGCGTCAGTGCATGTGTACACCTGTTTAGGAATTCTTATGTGAAGAGTTTATGAAAGTAGAAGAGGCCCTATACATCTACCTTTCAAACTGCCAGTTCCAAATGGAAAGACAAATCTGGCGGCAGAACTGCAGATGTGGATGAAAAGCAGCTTCAAAAAAAGTTAAATGGGAGGCCGAACAGGCGGTTTCCACAAGCTGGAGTTTCTAACGACAGTTCAGTACGTTCCGTCGACGGCAGCCTTTGTGTGACGTCACGGGCTTAGCTGACTCATCTTGTCACTGCCAATATCTTCGAAATGATTTACCACACATAAATGTGAATGCACTTTTAAAACCAGCAACCCAATTTAAAGGCAAGATTCGAACAGAGTTTGTGTTTTTTCAACATATGATCATTCACTGACAGTGAAGGCGTTGAGTACGTAACTGTACTGGGTTAGCATCGGTGTCATGATGTGCTGCAGATCCAAAGAACGCACTTGAATGTTTGCACAAATCAGACAGCTAAACATTTAGTAAAAAAGAAACATTGTGAAAAAAGAGAAACTTTTTCAATTCATTGAAATTTGCAGATGCCACGAAAGCCTTTGGAAAATAAAACCAAAGACCATTCAAGTCGTCAGGAGAAGGAACGGGCATATAAAATCTGGCCGATTTTGTTAGAAGCTTTGGTGGACTTGATTTTAAAAAGTATATTAACTTGCATGGGTCATTCCAGAATAAATTTTAAAAAACATGAGAGAAGCCAGCTGTACGGTGTTGTGTCTGATGAAGTATACCAGCCCAAGCTATAGTATTTTTCAAGTGTATTATTTCTCTCTCTCTCTCTCTCTCTCTCTCTCTCTCTCTCTCTCTCTCTCTATCTATCTATCTATCTATCTATCTATCTATCTATCTATCTATCTATCTATCTATCTATCTATCTATCTATCTATCTATCTATCTATCTATCTATCTACCTATCTATCTATCTATCTATCTATCTACCTATCTATTGCTCACACAGAAATAGAAACTGAGACACATACTCTAAAGAGTAAAATCGTTCTTAATCAATATGCTTATACACATACTCGCAACTCGTGCCCCCCCCCCCCCCCCCCCCCCCCACACACACACATTCGTAATAAAATGTACTTACAGCATCGGGATAAATCCGTCATTTCCGCATTGGTAACTCAATAGCTCAAGTCATCTCTTTTTTGCTTTCTTTGTTTTGGTAAGTGTTTTTACGGCGCTCGCAACTGCATAAGGTCATATGAACGCACGGGACACACCTAATATTTTCAGTTTGGTAGGAAATTTTGAATTTTGCCCGAGTCGCGGCCGAAGCCTACTCTTACCGATTTTACACCACCAAGAGATCTTTAACGAGCGCAACTTGCACACGGGCCCTTCGAGATTTTTTCCCCTTGTCCGAGAAGGCTAGTTGTAGATCTTTCCTACCAGAAGATCAGGGGAGTGGCAGAAAGACAGCAGTAAGGAGGAGCCAAGGAGCAGTAAAAAGGCTGCAGAAAGAGTCAGGATCCCAGAGGAGGGGGCAAAGGAGGTGAGGGGGTGGGGGCAGAAAGTGGAAACGAAAGCAGACAACAGAACATTGCTAGAGAGTAGGAAAGGTGGTGAAAGGAGACAATTTTAGAGAAGAAAATGTTTCGGTCGCTACCCGGATTCGAACCCGGAACCTTTGAAAGAGAGGCCAACAACTTAACCTCTAGGCCTCTGAAGCCAGTATGCCATACTTGTCTCTTTTTGTTTTTCTTCGGCGATCAGCACATAAATTGAAAGCAATTTAAATAGTCATTGTCAGAACGCTCGCAGCGGCTAAAATACGTGATTTGGATGAGGCACCGACCCGTTGAACGGCGGTTTTGAGCGGCGGTTTTAACGCCACTTCCCACTCCGGTTAAACCCCTCTTTTAGGAACGCACATACATCTATGTACGGCCCTTCACTTATATTATTTTTTTTTGTCTGGGGGAAGCAAATCGGTCTATTAGTCTTCGGAATATGTGTCCAACAACAAACTGGCAGTTTGGAAACGACCTGACCAAATTGTTGACCTACTTGTTTATCCATGCCCCGATTGTGTGCCCAAGACTACTACTACTGTCGTAGCCCTTGTTACTGTGCGGTAGGTTACTCCTGTCGTAAATATACTTGTGCTAGTATTTAATTTGATGATTTCTCCTATCAGTTTTTTAGCCTTAAATCTTTTTTTTCAACCGTTTTCTCTTATCTCCAAGTGAGACCTGACTGGATAACCAACAGCACACTAGATTAGGTAGTAAAATAGGCCTATATGCATAAAGTTTGTATTCAATGCACAAAAAGAGTGCCTTTTTGTCGTTTCTTTCGTACCACTGACGTAAAATAATATTATTTGTTCTTGCAATTATAAAGAGAAGCTATGTCGGCATATATTTCCACTGATGCAACTGATAAAACGAGGCCACCCACCGACACCCGACGTGTCCTCAATATCGAGTTATAAAAGGTCAAAAGTCAATGAACGCATGCGGGACTTTGAATTTATGATTTTTTTAAATTACTAAAATTGTTAAAATGAATTTTAACCAAGCTGTTTTGAAACATAAATACAATCTAAGTAACATTAGATTTTAATCCGAACGAAAAACTGGAGACATTTTTTAGCTCTGGCAGGGCTGTAGCAGAAAAAATGGACACACGGCCTGACTAAATGCACGCAATATTCAAATCATCGCTACTTTGGTAGGGATATATCGGTACGTTTTAGAAGATTCAATCAAACGAAATTTTCATTGATAAAAATCTGAGCTGCATTTCAGCATTCCAACTACCCACTTCCCGAGAGACGGAAGACGAAGGGTCAGTCCGTTTCTGGTTTGTTTGTACACAAGACAAAGAAGGCACACTCGTGCGCGCGCGCTCGCGCGCTAGCGTTAGGGTGTGTTTAAGAGAGGAAGAGAGAAAGAGAGAGAGAGAGAGAGAGAGAGAGAGAGAGAGAGAGAGAGAGAGAGAGAGAGAGCATGTGTGTAAGAGAATGATTGAAAGAGAGTGTGTGTATGTGTGTGTATGTGTGTGTGCATGCGTGTGTGTATGTGTGCGTGCGTGTTTGTGTACGTGTGTGTATATTACATGCACGTGAATGTAGGTGTGTGTGTGCTTGTGTGTGCTTGTGTGTGTGTGTGTGTGTGTGTGTGTGTGTGTGTGTGTGTGTGTGTGTGTGTGTGTAAGTGTAAATTTGTGCTTGTAAGTGTTTATGTGGGTTTTGCAAAGGTGTAAGTACATACGTTTAAACACAGTTCAACAACGTCGTATGTCGATTTATTAAATAGACTTCCTTTGTTCTGTTCATCAATTCATTAGATTCAATATAAAATACATCTTTCTATCTACCAATCCCAATGGCGCCGGTAGCCCAGTGGTTAGGCAACCGGACTCGTGAGCGTGGAATGTGGGTTCGGGGATTTAAACCAAGTGAGAAAGGCACTTTACACGAATTTCCCACTTGGCTTGGTCCTTTCGGAGATCCCGTCTCTTAAATAACGTAAAAGTGTTGATAAGGGCGTTATACATAATAATGCCAATTTTATGCTAATCTCGTTCTCTCAAACAGGAGCCAAGAACTATCAACTAGCGTTGAGCAAGTCCATCTTATTCTATGAGGCTCAGCGCTCTGGCCCCATCAATGATCACATTATCCCATGGCGTCACTCTTCAGCCATGCATGACTGCACAGTTGGTGGCTGGTATGACGGTACGTACTCTAGTTGGAATTTACGTGACCCATTACGCACATCCGGGGTCTTCTTTTTTGCTGTGGTCTTGTGGTTCCACCTTTGGGTCATTATCGTGTCATGAATAAAATTAAAGGGTTTTTTCTGTTTTTCTTTTAGTTTTTTCCTTGTTGCTTTTTTCATTTAGAGGGGAGAGTGGTCTTAATCTGTAGGAGGTTTTTTTTTGGGGGGGAGGGATGGGGGAGGTATGGTGGGGGAGGAGTTTTTTCGAATTCAGTTTTTGCTGCACTTAACCTAATCTGAACATTAGTACGTTTTCAAAGAAGTCTCTCTGGTATTATATTTGGTTAATGAACAACCTTCACTGTCCTCTCCAGCTGGAGATCACGTAAAGTTTGGACTTCCCATGGCAGCATCTACCCATCTTTTGTTGTGGGGTCTCTATGAGTTTAAGGATGGTTATACGCAGGCGGGCCAACTGAACCAGATGTACCACATGGTTAAGACGCCACTGAACTACTTCAAGGCGGCCTGGAATGCGAATGCGCATAAGCTGACTGCTCAGGTGAGGGGACGAGATGAATTGTCATGACGCGGTGGAATCAGGTGCTTGTCATTTTGGAGCGTTATTTAGTTATTGGTGTCATCTCAAAGCTGGTTTACTTATTTTTCCTTGGCTGAAAGAAATGCGCACCTTTCTTAAAGAAAAGTCGATTGAATGAGGTGGGGGTGTCGCCTGGTATCAGAGATAAAAATTAGCCACCTTGAAAATGTACATTGTCGTGCCTTTGATCAGCGTCTTTAAGTAAAAATTTACATTGAAACGAGTTTTTGAATGGTTATAAATCGTTCTGAGCTGAAAAGAAACGATGGATTTTTACCAAAACAAACAGAAACATGACAATCTCTTTGATTTCATTATTTTCACGGACGACTGGTTTCACCACGATACAACACAATTTAGCTACTTTACTCATATCATCTGCTCTATATCTAACAGGTCCGGAACGTAATATAAGTTAATTGTAATAACGGGATAATAAGCTTAGGGGGTGTGCGTTTAATATCGTGGTTATGTAGCGTACTAAAAAATGGTCACGGCGGTGGAAAACACCTGCACTGTCAATCACATGATAATATCATTTTGCTTTCTCATACAATGCTTATGTGTGTGTGTGTGTGTGTATGTGTGTGTGTCTGTGTGTGTGTGTGTGTGCTTGTGTGTATGTGTGTGTTCAGTTGTGTGTCTATGGGTGTAATTGTGTGTTTGTGTGTTGTGTTTGTTATATTTACCCTTCCGCACCATGTTCTCTTTTTGGAAACAAATAGAACCTTTTCTTATATGATCTGGTTTTACGTTATTAAACATCACACTTTCTTTTTCTGGTATTTGGTTCTCTCTCTTTGTAATTGCGGTAGTATATTATTGCTTTGTTAGCTTAAAAATAGTTAATGTGCTACTTTTTGTTAACACACCCAAGAGATGACAAACAAGAATAATAACTGATTTAACGTCTTAAGCAGTAGTCAACGTACAATCGTGAACATATTGATCAATTAATTGCTTGACTTTCTGGAAGAACGGTTCTGTTTTTGATTGGCTTGTTTTATTTGACAGTGGGTTTCGGAACTGGTGAAAATGGGGAAGTGGTATAGGTTAACGCCCCTATCAACACTCTTAGGTTATTTAAGAGGCGAGACCTCCGAGTTTAACGTGCATCTTGGAAAAAATCAAGTCAAGTGAGAAATTCGTGTAAAGTAAAGGACACAACGTCGGACCGAGCTGAGGCTGCTTCGGAACTGTTAAATCGGTTATCAGTACTGGCATCATCCGTGAGACAAAAAATATGTTTGTTAAATAAATCAGATTGTTTTATTAATTCTACTTTGAACCTGTCACATACTCCACAGGTGGGAGACGGCGCTGCTGATCATGCGTACTGGGGTCGTCCAGAGGACATGAAAATGTCTAGACCATGCAAGTATATCGACAACAACACCCCGGGAAGCGACATTGCTGGAGAAACAGCAGCTTCTCTGGCTCTTGGATACCTCGTTTTCAAACAAAAAGGTGAGTGAGCATAATGTTGTACAGCTGCCTGCTCTTTAAAAGTACTAAACCTAAAATGTTGATTTGTTTTTTTACAGTTGTAAATTCTGCGATACCGTTTGAATAAGAGAGAGAAATATTTTTGTGAAAGTTCAAAGCTCCAATAAAAGCTGAATAAAAAGCAAGATAGTGCCCGTAATGTTGGTAATTGTTATACGAAACAACATGTGTGCTCTGTCTATAGAAAAATGTTATTTACTGGTCTTAGAAAAGATGAACAGTTTTCCGGGGATAGCACGGTTTATTTGTTTTTATTCTTCAGTTTGTCTGTCTGGTTAATTTATCAGTTTGCTTATTAAAAGTTTGAGTCTCCTATACTTACTTGTACCCGTTACCGGAGAGGTGCTGTTTTCGTCCTGTTGACTAACGGTACTTCAACTTGTCCCCAGACCAGAAATACGCTAACGGTCTCCTGAGTTCAGCTAAGAGCCTGTATGCCTTTGCCAAAGCTAAACCTGGAGTGTTCACAGGATCTGGAGATTACTACCAGTAAGGCAACTCGTCTAATCTTCAGACAAATAGCTACCCTAAAATTGCAAAGTACTATCAGTTCAGTACCTGGTTTTGAGAAAGTTGACATCAACATATTTGAGTTTCACAATACTCGTATGTCAATCTTTTTCGATCGCAATTCTTTGAATTTCTTGATAACGACTCCGAATATTCGTACCATTTTGATAGAGCAGATACAGCATTACAATTTGCTTTCTGAACTTGTGGTCTTATTAACTCAAAACGACCAAACATGTACGATAAATAAAGCATTGTAATTTTGAGGTAGCAAAATAGTGTCGGTATTTATATACTCCCTCAAAGACATAATTTAGATTATAGGAGGCGGACGGCAACCCTTCATTTTAGAGTCAAGCCCAGATGAGATCAAAAGAACATCCCAGCGGATCGACCGAGATTCCCGATCCTCCTCCACCCCTCCCCCTCCCCGCCCCCCACATCAGGAATCGAACTCGTGCTACTCCGTGAGTGCAACGGCGAAATGCCTAACCGCCTCACCACAAACCAATCAGTTACTCCAGATATAACAAAACTGTGATAAAGTCAGGAGAGTGACTGTGACAATATACCAATCTATACGCTTATACTCTTGTGTTTATTTCATTAAAGAAACATAATCAAATAAGATAAAACCAAACAGCTAAACTCAAAAGTACAAGGTTCTGATTGACATTTCTGTCCATTTTGAGGTACTAAAACCACCATGAGTGTCAAAATCGTAAGTTTATTCTGAGTCGATATTAAAAGAATTGTATTCGAAAAAGCTAGGCCAGTTGTGAAACTCAAACTTTTTTACGTCAAATTTCTCAAAACTCGGTACTGTGCCAATAGAACTATGTAATTCGAAGGTACCAAAATTAACACGATAACTGCTTTTTTTTAACCACCTCATTAAGAATATAAACGTTATGTACCACTAGAGTGTCAGAGTTGCATTAGATGCAGACTGTCTGTGAATAAGCAACTCTAACCACACGAGATTCTGAATTCTTTCCATATTCAATCTAATTCACCCACAGTGATGACGGCTATAAAGACGAGATGTGCCTTGGGGCCGTGTGGCTGTACCGTGCAACCAAAGATTCTAAGTATCTGAATGATGCTAAGAGCTTCTATGAGGCCGGAGTTCCATGGGCCTTGAGCTGGGCCGAAAAGAAAGCAGCCTGCCAGGTAGGTCAAAGGCTGAGAAGGTGATGTTTCGGGGTCATGGCTGGGCCGCTGCAATTGTGATTGTTTTTTTCCAAATTATGTATCACTTTCCCGTCAGTTTCGAAAGTGATTGTTCTGCTAATGATAATGATGATGTTAACAATATTATTGTTGTTCTTATTATTATTGTTATCATTATTAATGATTTCATTTATAATAGAGATCAAAATGATATATAATAATAATACTAGTAGTAGTAGTAGTATTAGTACTAG